TTGCATATGTTCTCGGCCAGTGTACAAGATATTTGTAAAGTATTTATCTATATGTATATTTCTGTACGCCAAATGCAATGTGCATTTGGTAATAAATTGAATTGAATTGAATTCAATTAGCATAGGCCGTGATCACTTTTAGCTCACATGGATGGAAATGATAGCTTGTATAATTATAGATGTTCAATGATTTTATGATAGTTATAAGATACTTATAACATCTAGGAATTTTGATTAATTAACTGATTAATTAGCTTTTAACACCACACTCTTAGTCACACATTACATTCTTACATTTTGTACAAGGTAATGTAGGCATCTTATTAAATGTTACAATAATAAAGATTATTTAATATATAGTTATATTAATATTTCTAAAGTACTAGGAAATGATATAACACATTTCATCTTATCATCTTATCAGCAGCACAAGGACTACAAAATGGATATATTTAATACTGAATATATATATTTATATATATGATTAATATTTAAATAATTTTAACATTTATTATTACAAATTTGAAAAACTTATATAATGTGTTATTTAATTAAATATGATAAAACACCACCTTAGATAGAAGGGTTAACCACAGGTAACAACACAGGTAAACACAGGTAAAAGCACAGGTAAATACTGCCCATACAACTTAGAAACAGATTATAATCCTTTTAACAACATTATTCCCCCCATGTTATTTTAAAAAGTGGGGGAAACGAGAACAAGCCATCTTTTATCTTTTCCATGTAAAACAATAGTCATGTAGGGGTGTAGGCTATCTCTATTTTCTACACAGTGGTCCGTATTTGGTCTTCATATTGGCGACAATTCAATAACGTCGCCTTTCATAATATAGTTATGGTATATAATAGGAGGAAGGTTGGCGTATACATCGGTATTCGACAAGTTGTTTATTAACGCTGTGTTCCAAATGACTTTCCGTAGTTTATAGCCTCATCACTTGAACATCTAGTTGCTATGTATTGGTTATATTAGAGTGTATACTATACTGAAGATGCCATGATGTATACACTTCTATCGTGGTACTCCAATAAATTTACCCAAAACGTTTAACTTGTGATAGTTATGTGTTCCTTTTAGTTTTACCTGGGATTCTTTACTTAGTTTGGTTCTGTTTTGTACTCCAATGATTTTTCTTTGTACTAACAAGTTGATAAATGTAGTAATTGTTTACTGCATCGAGTTTATCTTGTACTAATGTTTTGTTCAGCATTACTATGTGTTAGTGCCCCAGGGAGTTCACCACGTACATACCGCTTTACTCGGTCTGTGTGTGAGGCCCGATTTACCAAGTAGTAACCAATCTAACAACTCATCAAGTATAGTTCTTGAAGACAACATTTCATTTAACAACAAAAAAATAACAAAAAAATGGATGTCTGGTTAAGTTCATCTCAAACAAAATATTTGAACTGTAATGACGTCATCAATAAAGAATAAATGTTTACTATTGTACCCAGGCACCCGGAGTTGGTTAGTTTAATGGCGAGATCGCACACGACAGTACGAAGAGTGACGGAGTCAGGGGGACAAGCGGAAGTAAATTGTCATCAATAATCTGGTCCTTCATTAAATCTGATTGGTTCATGAACCAGACAGGGCACCCGGATATGAGACTGGGTTAGATTCCTTTGTTGATAAATTTGCATGCGTCAATATTTAGCAGAAATTTCAGTATTTAACACGCGTAATCGCATAATCGTGTACGTCATTGGTAATATGAATAAAAAAAACCTGGCATATTCATTGTTATTGTGAAAATAAATGAAAACTAATATCTGTCACTCGGCAGTGCTCAGATGCTCACTGTTTATGTATAAAAATGAATGAAATCTTAAATCCATCATCCGGTAGTGCTCTCATATATTCACTGTTTGTGCATAAATAGTGTTGTATTGACTTTTACATAGACTTGTCAAATATTTTGGGCTATATTCCTTTTTCATCTTGTTTTCTCAATGGAAACTAAATGATTTCCATTTAGATATGATTTTTTTTTAGTTTCAATAAGGATAAGTAATAATATCAACTAAATTTCGGTAATTTATGATATATCATTGCCAACGGTTTAAAAATCCCTCTCTGCTATATAGTCTCGTTCCAAATAAGACTGTCACGATCTTCAGCGGAGGGGAACCAATGTATTTCATTATCATTGTCAAGATGCAGGGATAAAATGTGATTTAGTTGGAATATTGAGTTTTTAAGCTCATTATATTTACATTATCGTTATCTTATGCAAAGTTCTAATTGGACGTATTTCCACGACTGTGTGCGTTTTGTTCAATGGGAATGGAGTACTACAATGGAAATAACTGACAGCCGCTGTCACGGACTATTTCCGTTATTTTGCTTCCGAGACTTGGCTAGCCAACACGCTGTATAACCGGATCAACCATACTATAGAAACGTATTCGAGTAGTGCGAGTTCGAGGCGGGTGTTCATTGTACATATCAATATGTACCAGTCCAGTTTCTACCAAGAGTTTTCCTTTCTTACACTCACTAACAAAACCAGATCAGCAGTTCTTTGCGATTTTGATTATATAATCGCTTACGCTCATCACGAAACCAGCATATGCTAACAACATTGTTTAATCTGTATGGCGTACGTAAATACTAGTCCATATTTCATAATGATGCAAACAAAAATAAACCTATCGCATTTGTTTTGAAAGTTGCCCTTCGGTGACATATTTGAAGAATTAAAGTGTTAATCACTAGATTATGTGAAACAAATTAGCGAAGGCTGAAATAAATTTTCAAAACTTTGCCAAGATTTTTGGCATTTAGTTTTTTACAATTGAGTGTGTGTGTGTGTGTGTGTGTGTAAGTGTGTCAGGAACGACAACTCTTGGTTAAGACTGGCAGCAGTTGTCATACGACTGGGTGGACAGAACATTATCCGTCTGCATTTACTGAGATATACAAAACTAATTTCACTGATTTCTAATTACAATCTACCTCGAATACAGAAAGCGTTATCATTCCGAAACATCAAAGAAGTATACAGAAAGATATGGAGAGACCGACTGTCTTTTACAATTTGAAAATTATCTTACTCGACTTAGATAAACATGAAAACAAACCATCACTCATCGGTACACCTTTTTTCCCACATGTTCAGATATTATTTCTAGAAAACCTTATGTTTTTCTTTGGAATGCATTATTCCCGTGTCCGACAGGGAACACAATTGCATTGAACTATGACGTCACACTAAAAGATAAAGATGAAAAGCATTGTTACCTACGAGATAATAAGAAGATTGACCAATGAAATAACGTCCATTGTGTTACCAACTAGTAGGTAACCAAAAATGATTACCAACTCCTAGCAGGTGTATCCAATGAGTCGAGAGTGAGGAACCTATAGTGGTTGTGGGAGTGAGGAAACCTATAATTGTTGTGGGAATGAGGAAACCTATAATTGTTGTGGGAGTGAGGAAACCTATAGTGGCTGTTGGAGTGAGGAAATCTGTAGTGGTTGTGGGAGTGAGGAAATCTGTAGTGGTTGTGGGAGTGAGAAAACCTGTAGTGGTTGTGGGAGAAATATATAAATGTATATAACCCGTCGATCATAGCGAATGTATTGTTTTTCATATCCTGTCTAGCGTAAAAATAGTGTTCATTAATATTGAAAAAGATGAAGTGAAAGTGCAATTACATATATCAAAGTCGGTGTATCTGTGTGAAGGTATCATTTGCCATTTCCTCTCAAAGGTTACCATTTCTAATCAGAATTGTCCTACACACTCTACTTGATTATGTACTTATAACATTTTCAGGGCAGACGGACGATTTTGTTCTATCATTAATATTATATCGACAGAATATCAAATGACGTATCAGGCATGATTTGAAAAATGATATTATGATTATAAGCAAACAAATAAAAAGCAATAGTCAATTTACCTTCTCACCACTACTTGGAAAATGACAAAATAATGGAAACGAGCAAACATACTACTAAACGCGAATATAATAACACGGTGTGTCAATGTTTTCCACTTCTTCACTTAAACTTGGAGAGGATTTTAGTGACCGTTGTCACGTTCAACATGAAGTTGCAATATCTAAATCACCTCATTTAACGTCAAGGTACAACAATTGGTACAATTTTGACAGTCTTTCAGGGATACTTAAAACTCCAGATCTTGTATCTGAAACTTTGCTTGATATTTGACAAAGACTACCCTTGTATCTGAAACTTTGCTTGATATTTGACAAAGACTACCCTTGTATCTGAAACTTTGCTTGATATTTGACAAAGACTACCCTTGTATCTGAAACTTTGCTTGATATTTGACAAAGACTACCCTTGTATCTGAAACTTTGCTTGATATTTGACAAAGACTACCAATGGTCGTTCATTTTCAGCAAAAAATTTGATTGTAAGTAATTGGTGCACCGTATAACAGGCTATGCAACTTGTGTTTTTTTTTCTACTAGTTGATGTGCCGATTGCAACAGTATAGATTGCTTTTATAAATACTATACTGAACTACAATTGTATATAAACACTTTTATATTATCCGGTTATAAGGACATGAGAAATCACCATTTAAACATGCATATAAATAACCCCTTTACAACTATCCAAAATATCATCGACGCACGTCGTTTTTCCTAGTTTCGCACATGTTTACATTGATGTCATCTTGTACTCTTAAGATGTCGCTCAAACCCGAACTATTTATGATACATATATCTATTGTGATACAATCAGAGGATAATACACGGATTTAATTTTAAAAGACTATTCGAACCATTTTCTGACTGTGTAGTTTCTTGATGACTTTGTTTACAGTTTCTAAATAATGATGTAAACAGGCACGTATACATAATACGGCATTGTAATGGTTAGATAAAACCCTACGCGCAGGCAATCCGTGAGATATATAAAACTGAGGCATACAGAACGCCAGAGGAAAATTATGTAAATGGTAACAAAAACAAGTGACATCTCAATTACGTACCTGGAGCTCCAAGCACCTGTCGATAATTGCTCTTTCCTCTCAAATTTGACTCAGAAATGTTCTCTCACACACTTTACTGAATAACATACTCCATAAACGCTGTGACGTCAGGCTTATATCAACAGCATGTCTGCCAACCTCCTGGCTACATAAGGACTTACTGACCTATATACGATGAACTACTCATGATTCGATTAAAACAATGTTAGGATGGTAAAGCATTCTGGGAAGTTACGCTCACATGTAACAATACAATCTCATACTGCAACAAATATATATAGTCAACTGCTTTTTGCTCATGTTTTCTTTCATTATGTTTCATTTCCTCTTCCTTCCCTTAAACGTGCATTTTTCCGTACAAAACACGTATTCCTCTGTACAAACGCTTCATTTGACATGTATTAACCCTTTGAACAAGAGAATATGCACTAGTTTCGTTTGTTTTGTGCGGAAATGTATCACCACAAGTATGTGCGTTCTAATTAACAAAACTAAACACATTGGAAGTGGGCTACTGGCTGGCTGCCGTCGTACGTGTCAGCATTGTAGTAGCCCGTTACACTAACTGACCCATGCTGTAAGTTTACCGGATAACAAAATCTACCTCACTCATATGGTGGAATATAACTAATTCTTTATGATATGTTAATGATAAAAAGTCAAAAGGAAACCAGTAAATATCCTATATTTGTATATCTGTATTTATATTTGTACCACACTGGCCAGTTTTAGACAAAAGGGGCTTATAAACAAAATTTCTGTGACGTGAATTTAGCTCAGCGCGGGGAATAAAATATGTTGATTCAACGTTCACTGGAAGTTCTGGAAACTTTCAAACTTTAAATCTGATTGATGCCGCTACAAGACTCAATATCACAAAAAGGCTCATAGTCTGTCTTTCACTTTAACCAGCATATTTGTTAAAAGTAAAATGTTGTAAAATAAAACTATAGCATTTAAATACCCTCACCGAGAAAGCACTTTCTGCCAAGTCGCTTATAATTATATATCAGAAGATAATTAAAATACGTGGAACTTAAATTAATGAACCCACGGCAGGTGCCCTTAATGTCTTGGCTAAATCAATAAAATAATATTTTAGAGATATCATCCATGAACATTTGTCTTCAAGTCAAAAGCAATATCAATAAATTTGAGATTTAAGAGGAAAAATATGAGCATATACCATCAATTAAGCATTGTAAATGTATAGGATATTTAGATATAAAATGATGAAAATCTACTCTGTATCAATAAATATAATAGCTAATATTTTTTGAGATTTTAGAGAAAAAATATTTTCAATACATGAATTATATAAATACAACTGATATTTAGATATTATAATGATGAGCTGTTGTCTTCATTTAATTGTTTTTAACAGAAGAACGTATCACAAACCCGGTAATGGCACCTTTAACATTTTGGTAATAGATACGGTAAGCCATAAATTAATAACACTGTATCTTTCCGCTTTTTTGTCTTTCTTCGACTCATTGGACATGTTAAGGCCTTAAAGTTCGAAATTCAAATTGGTCTAAACTACTGTTAAAACAGAAGGGGAAGTGTGTAAACACACTTAATTTAATGAAATTCAAAATGTGGAGAATTACTGGTTAATTTCAAACATAATATATAGCAGAGTGTGTATATTATTATGAACCATACAATGGCAAACCTCGGGGACTAAGACATCAACTTGGTGGTATAAAATAACATACATGTATATGGAATTAACATTGACTGCTATTTCTCCTTAATATGCAAGTTATAGAAATATTTTTTGGAAACAGTATTGAAGAGGGTAAACGCGAGATTTCCGTGTTAACGACAGCTGTGCCACGTCTGTCTCGTGACTGAACCCGGTATATAATCGACATGCTGATGATATTGTTTTCATAAAGTATTATCATGTGTACTTCCTCTCAAACGCATGTTTGGAGTGATATATATATATCAAAATCAATAAAATGTGGACTTGTCCCGTGAAATTATGCAAAGACAGCATGTGCATTTTTCATTTTCAAATACAATATTAGCTATACTTTACCAGGATATCGAATATGTATTCTTGTCCAACATTAGGTATTAATGCAACGGATATCTACTGCTTAAAATAGAAAATAAACGATAACGTAACAGACGGGATCTGAGCTCAAATGACACTAAAAGTTAACGGAACTGATGAGAATCCAGATCAAAATGGGATAAAACACGGGGGCGACACCTGGTGGCCTGTAAGGATGGGCGTTTCCTTCACAACATTGGAAACTTTTAAGGATACAACAAGCTAAAAGACTCTGCGTAATGGAAGATTGAATTGTGCAATAAATCACTGTGTCCTTTCCGTAACCTTTTATACTAATCTTACTAAAATGATATCGTTATTATCGCAGAGAGGAGTTCCATTCAGAGTTATTTTTACCAGGAGTATCCCCCTTCTAAAATTAAACAACCCAAAAGAGAGAGGAGTTCCATTCAGAGTTATTTTTACCAGGAGTATCCCCTTTCTATAATTAAACAACCCAAAAGAGAGAGGAGTTCCATTCAGAGTTATTTTTACCAGGAGTATCCCCCTTCTAAAATTAAACAACCCAAAAGAGAGAGGAGTTCCATTCAGAGTTATTTTTACCAGGAGTATCCCCTTTCTATAATTAAACAACCCAAAAGAGAGAGGAGTTCCATTCAGAGTTATTTTTACCAGGAGTATCCCCCTTCTAAAATTAAACAACCCAAAAGAGAGAGGAGTTCCATTCAGAGTTATTTTTACCAGGAGTATCCCCTTTCTATAATTAAACAACCCAAAAGAGAGAGGAGTTCCATTCAGAGTTACTTTTTACCTGGAGTGTCCCCTTTCTATAATTAAACAACCCAAAAGAGAGAGGAGTTCCATTCAGAGTTATTTTTACCTGGAGTATCCCCCTTTTATAATAAAACAACCCAGTGAGAACATTGGACACTCATTTCGATGCTTCCCTGCTTGGAAACGTTGGTGAAGTGTAAGCTTTCATAATATCGTATAATGGGTCATTAACGCTGGCTAAAATTTTCGCGTTTTTGACCCACACTTATAGAAATTCAATTATAATTTCGCGATCTAGAGGTGAAGGAACTAAATAATTACGGTATCTGAGTACAGCGACGGGAAACTAGGCATAAAGAGTGTCAAACAGTCCAATCGATAGGCTTTGTTACAGCATATTGAACAAGTTAGTGTAATTTGTTAAACAAATCATCATTGACATTATTAGATGTGTGATCTGACCTATTTTCAAACATCATTACTGTAGATGAATATGAATCGTCACGACCACGAGTGTGCTATTTCATGCCGGCATAACGGTTATAAAGTTAGTATCTCGGCTTATTTTTACGCTTGTCACATTATTCTTCGGATTATATTTTCGTGATCACGTAATTGACCGGCGAAATCTCTACAATATCCTCCCCGCGGATAAATCCTAATATACGGTATCATGATTCCAAGTACGACCCCCGTGGATACAAGTACGACCCCCGCGGATACATCCTGATATACGGTATCATGATTCCGAGTACGACCCCCGCGGATACATCCTGATATACGGTATCATGATTCCGAGTACGACCCCCGCGGATACATCCTGATATACGGTATCATGATTCCGAGTACGACCCCCGCGGATACATCCTGATATACGGTATCATGATTCCGAGTACGACCCCCGCGGATACATCCTGATATACGGTATCATGATTCCGAGTACGACCCCCGCGGATACATCCTGATATACGGTATCATGATTCCGAGTACGACCCCCGCGGATACATCCTGATATACGGTATCATGATTCCGAGTACGACCCCCGCGGATACATCCTGATATACGGTATCATGATTCCGAGTACGACCCCAGCATTTGTTCCATTCAAATTTTTAACACTTTAATTATGTCAAATGCATGGCAACATGTAATATTTCTTAAAACAAAATTAAAAGGTTTTACACGAATATTTCACAATAGTTACAGTAATAATATAGTTTAACTTACCGGTTCCCTTCAACTTGATAAAAAAAATGTTTTAAATTCTGATAATAATTGAGAAAATATTGCGGGAAAATTAAGGAGGCTTAAACGATGATATCCAAAGATGTGTAGTTCAATATTGATAACAGTTCAGTTGATACAACACAACAGGCTCGATATCACTTTACCGTTGTTTGACATTAATCAACTTATTAATTGATACATCAAAGCGCATACGTATATATACCAAACAACTATTACCAATCTTAAATATATATGTATCATATAATTCATGATCAATTACAAGTTCACAAGGATAATTCTCCTCTGGTTTCAGGAATATTAAGACATAATAATGGCAGCCTGAGAAATGATTTTCTGCTAATTGCACTAAAGATATAATACAGCTCGTCTTTGTTAATATAGCAACTAATATTGTAGAAATGAGAAGTTGTACTATAAGTAAGGTACTTACCGTTAGCGTTACTGATGTGTTCGGTCCATCACGTCTGTAGGTCGTTGGTTATATGGTACGGGACATTAAAGGCTAAGAGGAGTGTGGAAGTCGAGAGTCTGAACCAACACTCAACCAGTCGCCATCACCTGAAGACAGAGTGGTATTGTATGTAATTAAGTGGTTATGTCAGTATAATATCTCCACTTCGCTAGCTCGCCATGGAGATCTTTATCAGTGATAAAGATTCCGATTGCAATTATACACGTGTCCAGTCTCCAATAACCTACCATAAAATTTAATGCAGATCGGAAATGTAGCATGAAGAAAAGGCCTGGTATTGACATATTAATTTACCAATCGCCTTTTGTACTATCAATCAACATTTCCCAGGCAATTGGGTATTAAATAAAACTAGAATTGAGTCCCATAAACGAACGCTTGACAACATATGGCGAGTGTCGCGTGCAGGGATTTATGGGTTAAATCAAGCGTAGGTCTCCCCGACAGATGTAAACATTATCGCTCACGGTAATCAACCATGCCGTGTGGGTGTGGAAGAAATCTTCTTCCTTGTTTTTCTCAACTTTTTATGCATTGCATATTTATAACCTAGAGTATTATAATGTATAAAAACGTCTTACAATAGTCGGTAGAACAGTAAGATATTGAACTGTGTAAGTGCTTTGATAAGATTCGCCTTTTTCTGTTTAAGAAAACCATACGTATTCTCATTATTTAAAAAATAAATAA